ATATGTTGAGATGTACATGGCACTCTGTTCTAGGTTGTGTCCCTCTCTTCTTGTCCCTTTTCTTCTTGTTTTCCTCTCTATGTTTTGTACTCAGCTGACTTTTCATGCTGTCTCTAAAGGAATGAAAGATTTTTTCCAAGCACTAAGCTCACTTAGCTGAACATGAACATGTGCAGCAAATGGACTGATCCAATATGGTGGACATTGAAGGGGGGGGCTGAGACACACTTAATATTATCAGCGTTCTGATGGGATTTTAGCCAAAGGATTTTTTATCAAAAACATAATTAATGTGCATAAATAAGGAATAGATGTATTAACTATACATGGAAACAGAGTTTTATGGGGCCCCCAGTAACGTATGGCCCTAGGCAGCTGCCTAGTATAGCCTAATGGTAACCCCCCCCTGTGTGTGAGTGTGTACTCTTGGCTGGCCCTGGATGCAGCATCTGAGTGGGTGTGAACCAACATATCTATTTGGCAGCTTTATAGTCAGGGCCATCGTCAGGTTGATAAATCAGTTTTATGGGGGGTTGTCCTGACGCATTGATCCAGGCTTTAGTGTTCGGACAAACACCCGGCGTGTATCGATAAACCAACCGACAGCTGCTGTGATTGACTGACAGGTGGAGGACTGGGAGCCGTCGCTGCGCTCTCAGAGCTCCTGCTGGTGCAGAGAACCTTCCGGATGCACAGACTGGAGCATGAAACTGCAAATAAAGCATAGAGCAGCTGCAGGAGGCGGCCATCCAGACGTGCTCTACTGCCGCGCCGTCATTTGCTCTTTCTGAGGCAGACATAGTCACGCTTTTACAGCCCTCATCAGCCTCGGCGACACACTAGAGAAGATGTGCTTTTTAGATTCAAACCCGCCTGAGAGTAAAAAACATTTAAAAGGGATTTGAATCTGTTTTTAGGAAACGTTTTCCAGGCAGCTTAAGAAGAGCCTTAAAGTAAATCAGATCTTTACAGACATGGAGGAAATCACTGGCAGCCCTGCTGGAAACGTCTACAAAACCATCACATAAATTCTGCTATTTCAGGAGAGGAAATACAGAAAAAACATCTAGGAAAAGGTATTTACCCCTAAAAAACCCTTTCTGACTTACTGTAGTGGTAAAAAAGGATTCAACTATTTACTCCAGTTAAATAAACGAGACAGATATCACTCAGTCGGCACTTATTTTATCGTTGCAAAGAGAGAACATTTCATCATACGGCCCTTATTGCTTAGGAAATCCGCCCTGTTCTGCCTGAGCAGCACTCGTTCCTCCTTAATAATGGAAAGTAGTCAGAGTCAAAACAAATTACAGACACTTTGGTTAAACAGTAACATGTTATGACTAAACCTTGAGAACGAATCTGGTTTGTTATGGGAAGAAGCTATGTCTGGTCTACAAAAACCTCATGCAGGGGAATTGTAGGTGAAACAGGCTAAGTGAAAACTTTTATTGTGAGTAAATAGGATAAATTAATATATGATATGAAATATGAGAAACAAAATTTTCTGACCACAGCCACCAAAACCTTCAAAAAGAGAACCTGAGCAGAAACAAACAGCAGTCATTAAGCGCTGATTTCATTTGAAGCTGTTTTTGCTGTTGGTGGTGATGTGAAACAGAAAGGACGGAGTGATACGCTGCAGTGGAAGCGAGGCGGCGACTCACGTAGGCAGCTGTTGTGGGTGAAGAGGCGCTGCAGCTTCAGACACTCCTGCCACTGGTTCCCGCTGCCCTCACAGTTGCACCACAGCGATACGTCAGCAGAGCTGTTGCTGATGTAGTTGGGGGTCATGATGGTTCCTGCAGGTCAGAAAATCAGCTGAGCCTAAGAAGACGTGTGTGTTAAACCCTGGATTGACTTTAGCTGGAATGAGTAGTTCTGGTCTAAAAGCCTCTGAACCTGATCCAGGACTAACTCAGCTCCTTCCATCTGTCCCTCTTGGTCCCCTGTCCTCCCTCTTTGTCTCTTCTTCTGTCCCCTTTTGCTTCTATCTCTGCACTGATCGACTTTCCTGTTTCTGCATCAATCTAGTTGATTTTGTTGCAATGAGCTAGCAGCTAATCTGGGTAGTCTTGTTTCTTTTCAGCTTCAAACTTAAAGGAATAGTACACCCAAAACATGATTAGCCTTCATTTTCTACTCACCCCCATGCT